ACATGAGAGGACCAAGGTGTCTAGGGTCCAGGGCAGGATTGTAGTACTTGCTCAAGACCTTGTCTACTCTGAATAGCAAGCAAAGCTGCTCACAACAGCTCTAATGTATGTAGGCACAGACACATATGGGAAAGAGAAATGAAAGTTCTCCAAATGGAGAAGGTACCACAGTGGAGAATAGAGACTGAAACTGAGTGACCGTCGTGCTCTGGACTGTCCATGGGTCATAGGGATATGATTCCCTCCCCCTGAGTAAAAATAAAGGGACCCCAGGTCCTCACAGGAAGGGGATGAGGATGCAGGTGAAGGGTGGAAGTGTGATCCCTGCCCCGTGTTTCTGTGTGCACTCTGGGATGTCTCTGCCCACTTACCCAAGTTCATGGTCAGCAGTGAGCAGTCTCCTCTGTGTGTCCTGAAACAGATTGAGTCCAGTACATCAGCCATGGGTGTCTGTCCCATGTGTGTGTGTGTGTGAGGCTCCCATGGACCAGCCCTGGTGGGCAGAATACTGAGGAGGTGCTGAGTCTGAGAGTGGTCAGCATGGGGCAGGGGTAGCTGCCACAGGCCCTGATCAGCCTGACTCCCAGGAAAGCCCCTGAGAAACTGTGGGAGAGCAGGCGTGTGAGGGGAGAGACTCCTACAAGAGTGGGCAGTGGAGAAATCCTAATGGGGACAGACAGTACTATGGACATCATCTACTGATACTGGGGACTGTCACAGGCAACCATGTAAGGAAATATGAAAGCAAATTAAGATTATCATGTTTAAATACCTTGAAAATAAAGGCAAGATTCAAATTTTGAGCCAAGAATATGAATTGTTTTACAGAGGAATGTTTTGATTAGAATTCTGGGAGTTGAATAATCTGATAGAATGGACACATTAAAATTCTTTCCATCAAGGTTGAGACACAGCTGAAGGTCCAATTATGACAGCAGAGTACAATGTTGAGGAAATTTCCAGGATGCAGCTTAGAGAGACCTGCAGTGGGGAATGAAGGCACTTGGGGACTAGAGTGAGGAGGGCCAATGTTATATCTATGGCATCAGAAGGAAAGAAGTGAGCATGACATTTAGTAACAGCTCCAGAGAACAAAAGCAAACATTTTACAGAGATGAGGAAGACCAGGTAAGTGACAGGGGCATGTATGTAAAAATGAAATCTGAATTTTGTCCTTGTGGTCAATGAAGCAAACAAAGGATGAATTAAAATGAAAAAATCCTATTTTACACCAAATGGTACACATTAAAATGGTTAACATTGTTTTGTGTGAATTTCCACTTTAAAAAATCAAGAAGCACTGGCCAGGGGTCCCAAAGAAAAAGTCCTAACATTATTTTCTATGAAAAATGCAAATTACTATAATAACAAGCTCACTGACACCAGACTTTCTCACAGCAAAGAGTGACACGAGAAGACAGTGGGGACACACCTCCAGGAGCAGATTGTCAGTGAAGGTTGTGCACTGAGCCCCATCAGCTCTGCCATCCCAGTTTCTGAATCCTTCACTCCTGAGATTCCTGAGGATCACTGCTCTGAAGTTGTCTGGAGGTGGTTCTGTGTATTCCTGTTTCTTTCAAACCTTTCTGCTTTGGAACCAAGCCTTCAATCTCCCATGTGGGCTAAAATAAAAGACCATCCTCAGAGCAACTGCACAGCAAGCCCAAGCCAGGGTGTTAGCTGCTCCTGCCCTTTCCTGCTGCCCACAGAAGAGCCAGCCACAGACAGCAGAGAGACCCATTTCCCCTGGCAAGCCTGGTCCTGCTGGGTCCTTGGGCAGCATCCCAGCCTCCTCCATCCCGGGTCTCACTCACTCACCCGGGGCTCCAGGGATCCCCAGCCCAACAAGTAGACAACACTGTCTCTAAGACATGGGAGTTACCAGGGTTCCCCCCTTGACACTCAGTCAGAAAACATTTCTGTTTTGTGAGTTTCCAGGAAAGTTTAGCCTTGTAAGGACCCACAATGAGGGGGAAATGTACATCCATGCTCTTTGCTTTCAGTGATCTTGCAAGGGTACAGTCCCAAGTTGCAAGTGGTGAATAAAAGTAATTATGTTTGTATTTTGTGACCCATACATACATCATGGTATGTGAGCCTCACAACTACTTTGTGGAGTAATACTTACCTCATTTTGTGAAACAGAGGCAGAAAGTCTGCCTAAGAAAGGAAATGTGACTTGTCCACATTCCACATGCCAACCTGTGACCCTGTTTGTTGGGAACCCCCTGCCTGGTTTCAGAAGCTGTGACACCCCATGACTAAGGCTGGGTCAAAAGACCTTGGGACCATAAGCCACTGAGGAGACAAAGCTTATCTTTCTGGTAGGGGCACCTCCTCTGCCCCATTTTACTTCACCCTGCTTGTCTCCAGGCAGTTGACTGGTTAGCCAATGACAGGTAAGATCCCTCAATGGGGGGACCACCTAAGACAGGCATGGTCATGAAGGGGACCTCAGGGAAGCACTTGGGGGGCTATAGAAAAAGCCCCTCACCCCTTGGCTTTGACATAGCCTGAGTCCTCATTCTGTCTACAAGAAGTCTCCTAATCCCTGGGCTGCCTTACTTCCCTGGCCTGACTTAAGCCTGAAACAATGCCAGAGGATGTGCAGCCCTGGGCAGGAATGGGTGGTTCACCAGAAAGATCAGGCTGAAGAAAGAATGCATGAAATCCTGTGAAACCTACTTTACCAATATCCTCAATTTAAATGGTAAGGGTCCAAGCATGAAATGAGTTTGGTTCCTTGAGGGGTTTTTTTTAAAGATTTTATTTATTTAGTTTTAGAGAGAGAAGGGAGAGAGAGAGAGAGAGAGAGAGAGAGAGAGAGAGAGAGAGAGAGACGTCAATGTGTGGTTGCTGGGGGTTATGGCCTGCAACCCAGGAATGTACCCTGGCTGGGAATCGAACCTGCGATGCTTCGGTTCGCAGCCCGCACTCAATCCACTGAGCTACACCAGCCAGGGTGGTTCCTTGAGGTTTTATGGCCCTTTGGCTATCTGACCGACTCAAAATAAGACCTCAGAGTTCTTTGAATTTTATCTATGGTTTGATGGTTACTGCCTGAAAATGATTGATGAGCTTTACCTATAGGCCCAGGATTCCTATGCAAATTGAACCCAGTTGAAGCCCATTGAGGAACAGGCTCCTGGCCCTTCTCCTTTGAGACATTGGCCACCTTTTCTCCCCAAGCACATTATGTCTTGGTAGACTTATTTTCATCCCTGGCAGCTAGGGGTGGGCCCTGTGGGTGGAGACCCCCAAACCTCTTAGCTGGAACTGATGGTTCAAACCCCTAGTCATCTGCTGCTCCCACCCACGTCTATCACCTGGAGTCTCACCCACTGAGAGACAGCAGAGCTGTGGGAGCTAATGGTTTATGAGAGGGTGCATTTAAGCAGGAAGGAGCCTCAGGGGAGACACGTGTGAGGGCTCCCCTCCTGAAGGGCCTTGAAGACTCTCTGCTGGGCCAGTGGGAGCACAGTCTCTCCAGGACTCACCTGGCTTTTCCTGAGGGCAAGACTCCCATTTGGGTAAACTATGGCCCCTGCTCCTCAGGAAGTTCTAGGCTGTGTCTCATCCTGAGAATGACAGGTTCTGTCACTGTGATCTTTTGTGATGGCAGAGATTCTGATTCTTCCTTATCTTTGTAGTGCTGTGTTTTCTTTTTGTATCTGATGTCGCAGTCACCTCCTGCAACCTTGATCAGCTGCTCTCAGGTGAGAGATGGTTTCTGTTGGTCTTGTGTGTGTTCTGGGGCTTCTGGGACCTTGTGTGGATGGACAGGCTTCGTGCTTCTGCCTCCCTCTTGTGGCAGGATCTCAGGTTGTAGGTCTGGTCCTGACCTTTCAATGTTTCTGGCCAGTTGTTGGTAAACTTTGTATTTTCTTTATTTTTTTTTTAAATGGGTGATGGCTTTATAAACAAGGGCCCAAGCCAACCATGCTCGACGGCCATCACCAAGACCCAGCTAACCTCAGTCCAGTCTCAGGCCTCTTCATTGCTTTCTTGAGGGGACAGAGGTATCTCAGGGTCCTCAGGGTATCATTTGGAAGGTGGCCAGGGCAATAGGCTTGTTGCTGGTGCTCTGGGCCAGGCTAGCTCCAGGCAGGCTGCATGGGGTGCTGGGAACTGCCAGGGCAAGAGCTGAGGGTCGGGCTGTTCTTGGAGCTTCCACCAGGCTGCTGGGCGAGGCGCTGGGTGGGCCTGGGGCTCCAGGAAGAGTTACAGGGGAAGCAGAGTAGTGGCGAGCTAAGTTTGGGCAGGGAGTCACTGCGGGTGAAGCACTTGGAGCAGAGAGGGAAGGGTAAAGGCTTCTACCCCTTGTGTTTTCCCTGGTGGCGGGCACCTAGTCTCAGCACTTGAACTTGTACTCGCAGCCAGACATGCTGCAGGCACAGGGTGCCCACTGGTGTGCATTTGCAGGGCGACGTAAGGGATGAGGACTAGAAAGAGCTTTGGGGCAGCCCAACAAAGAAGCCCAGCGGCTCTTGGTGGTGGCTCTGCAAGCCTAGGATCTGGACCAGGTACAGAAGCACTGGGGCCATGAGGGTGGGGAGGGGACCGCAGTGCGGTGTCTCCCCCGGCCTCTGCAGCTCACCTTGCAGGTTGACTAGGATCCTGGTGGCCAGCAGGTGTGTCGTTGCAATGGCTTCAGTCCGAGCAAGACTTCCCTAAGCACACCAGGCCTGTGGGTGGGGTGGGGCCTCTCTGGGCAGGCCTTTCCCTGGGGCAACTTGAGCCCCCAGAGACCGTCCTGGGCAGGTCCAGGCAATATAATCCCTGTAGGTCACCGCCACCCACTGGCCCTAAAGGGTGCACAGCAGGGACTCAAGTGAGGTCGCTGGAGGAGGAGAAAGACCTGGGCACCAGGGAAGAGGGTTGTGGCTTCTCTCCCCATCCTCAAGGAGCATTTACACCCAGGAATTAGGCAAACGCCACAAACCCACTGAACCATGCCAGTGCCCCAGGCAAACTATTTTGGATATTTATCCATTTATTCAGTTGTTTAAAAATGATTTTGCATCTGTTCAGTCTGACCAAAAGAGATGCAAAATGAGTGAACATGGACAATAAAAACTAGAAAAATGTCACACATGAAAGTGGACCAGAGATGGAGGGTGAACCCAGGTGAGGATCTGAACCTGTGATGTGGGCTGAGCCCCGGGTCACAGGGTTGAGAACAGAGGGGCCAGTCAAAGAAACAGAGAAGTGAAGTGAGGTGAGATGCCCACAGTCTAACTGTGGAGAAGCCTCTGCAGCAGCAGCCCCACCTCTCCCTGCATGGGAACCACACCCACACCCTCCACATTCTCAGCAGACTCTTTCCCAGAGGTGCCCACAGTTTCCTCCAGAGATTCTTGGTCTCACCAGACTCTTCACCAGGTTCCACCTCACTGACTGGTGGGTTTGTTGTCCCCTGTGTTCAGCTGCTGGCTGCATTGTGGGGTCTTCTCTGACTGTGCCAAGCTTCACACAGCAGCACCCCGAGGACCATGAGGACCAAGCCAGACACACCCAATCTGATGAGGTTCCCCACTGTGTACTCTTGGGTGTTTGAGCCTAGACATTGAGGACAAAGAGGTCACAGAAGTCATAGTAATGATAAGTCACCCCAAGATCCCTGGATGTCTGTCCAAGTCACCCAACTTGCATTTACTGCACTGACCCTCTGCCCTGAGCCCTATAACTGGGGATTAGGCCTTCCTCACCACTCTGGGAGTCTGGCTCATTCTGTGACAGTCCCAGGCTGTTAGCTGCTGCTGGGAATCAATGACACATAGGGTGTGGGAGAGCAGGTGTGGGAATACCTCAGTCCTCTCTTCTCTCATCTCCATTGAGTCCCTGTCACTAGCCATTCCCATTGCCTCCCTTGAGATGAGCATCATTGGCCCCTTGTCTGCATGTAATTAGGATGCCAAGGTGACATTTGGGGCCTTAGTTTTTTCTTCAGGTCAGGAACATGGGGGAGTAAAAGGTTGGGTCTACCTTTCAGTTCCTCCACTCTGCTCCTGCTTTGTGTCTCTCTGACTAGGATTATATATTTTCATATCACTTTTGTTTCTTTTATCTACCCCTTCTTTACAAAATAAATGATGGAATATATACAATACACCGTGCAACCTTTCTGGGACCAAGGATTACCACACTTACCAGACCTAAGCCTTTATTGATTTGTATCCTAGATATTGAGACTGATAAGAAACAGGCAGAAAAGATACATGACATAATAAAATGTTTAGGCAAAAACCTGGACAAAAATACAGATATGTAGTGATGTAAGACAGGCTGTGTTAAACTGAAAAATGAAATTCAGGGAAACCCCTGGAAACTCTGGAAGGGGTAAGGGGACACAAACAGAAGTTGTGGTGGGAGGTGATTTGGAGGATGACCTGACTCAGCTGACCACATGGTGTCATGGAAAAGGAGAAGAAATCCTCCCTTCATCCCACACCCATGTAATGGCAGTGGTCCCCCCTGGAGACAGGACAAGCTCAGAGTGGACTTATGTTCTTTCTCCCACAGGGGTTCTCTGGCATCAAAGTTATAAACTAAGTGAGCTTTTTCAAATCCTGGATTGGATTCTGCTCTGATAGATGGGAGAACAAAATCCCAAATACAGGTAGGAGTTTGTCACTGGGATTCACTTTAAAGGGCCTGAGCCATCAGCACTTCAGCTTAGACTCCAAGTGAACCCCCACTCACCCTGACCCAGAAAGAAGAGGCCCCCTTGTCTCTGTCTCCCATGTGGGCCTGGTTCCCCAGGTGCCAGGATGACTCAGGGGCCTTGAATCAGCACCAGAGACAGAGGCAGGAGTGGCTCCTGCTCTTTTCTCCTGAGCTTGGCATCTTCCCTTCATCATTTCCTCCCTGCTGATCACATGGGACCTGTGATATCACTGCCTATTGAGACATGTGGCTCTTTGCTACTTTCTCTACCTTTACCCCCAGGAATTTAGGAAACAAGGCCTCCTGGAACTATTTGATGTGTTGAAGTATAAAGTGAGAAAGTAGCAGAAGCTTGATGGAGTCTGTGTCTCCTTTAGGCTAAGGGGACTCTGCTGCCCAGCAGACATGAAGTTTGTCTATGTGGAGGAGGGCTTGCAGACCCCAGCTGTTGCATGGCACAGGAACCAGGGGAGGCTATGTGTGTGCCTGCCTCTTACATCACTCCTGTAGTCCAATAGATGTCCCCTAAGTGTTGTCCCTTCACACACTTCAGTCTTTTCTCTGCACACACCAGCACTGGATGGACACCCAGGTGGAGTGAGGCATGGAGAGGGTGGGGAATCTCCAACTTCTCCTCTCTTTATGGGGTGGGATTCCCCCTATTGATGACCTCACTGTTTCACCCTTCTTCCCATACCAGCCCAGAGCTGTCCTGGGACAGAGTCTGCTCCCTCAGTGGACATGGGGTGGGAGTCCCTCACCTGAGACCAGGAGCTCCAGGGGGTCACTGGGCTGTGACAGCTGGAAGGGGGAGGAGCTATGTGAGCTGTAGCACCTGTAAGTACCATGGTGGCTTGAGGTCACATGGTTGATGGTGAAGTAGGCCTGAGAGGGGGCAGCTGTGTTATGCAGATGAAGCTGCTGAGGAGGATGCAGGGACCCCTCCCTGTGCAGGTGGAAGGTGTCAGCCCTTTCCTCAGATCCACACTGCAGGGTCACATTTGCTCCCCAGGACACTGAGGGCCCTGGCTGGGCTGAGAGGGAGGGTTTCCTGTACATTCCTGGGGAGAGGAAGGCTGTGATGTGCACAAGGACACTCCTCCCCCCAACACCTTGACCCTGAGCTGGGGGACTGTGTTCTTCCCCAGGGACTCTGTGTGTGACTCCTGTCAGCTTCTCTCAGTCCTTCCAGTGGGCAACTTTTATCTCCGTGCCCAGTACCCTCTCTCCTAGACTTCAGCCCCACACAACCTCTGCTCCAGGACCTGACCCTGGACCTCCTCACGACCCCAGTGACCCTGGAGTAGAGCCCCAAGGCAGAGAGTCAGGACAGGGGGCAGGGCAGGGCTCCTCACCTGCAATCAGGATGTCCAGGGGGGTGCTGGGGGCCGACCACACATAGGAGAGGTTGTGTCCACTGTAGCACCTGTAGCGGCCCCCATGTGAGGGGTTTACAGGGCCCAGGTGGAAGTCAGGGCTGTCCTGCCCATGGAGACTCTGGGGGTGTGTGGGCCCCTCATCCTTGGTCAGAGCAAATCTGTCAGAGCCGGGCTCTGAGTGACACTGGAGGGTCAGGTTGTCTCCAGGCAGCACCAGCGGGCATGGCTGGGCTGAGAGGGAGGGTTCCCTGTACACATCTGGGGAGAAGGTCATTGTTACTCAGGGGACACACACACCCACCGCCCACTGGGGATGCAGTGAGAGCCCTTACTTCTTCCTTCCTAAGCCTTTACCTGTTGTTTTGTCCCCAGTAAACCCCTGTCAGTGGCCCCCACATCTCCCAGGGCTTTACTAGGCACAAGGTTTAGATCAGATATTTGGGCATAGCAATGAACTAAAGCCAAGTGTGGGCCATCTCACCTGTGATATCGAGGTGCAGAGGGACACTGAGCTGTGACCACACATTGGGGTTGGAGCTGTTAGAACCATAGCATCTGTAGGTCCCCCCGTGGGAGGTGTTCACCGGGCCCACAGGGAAGATGGCCACCAGCCACCACCTCCTACCATAGTACTTCCTTTCAGATTCTCTGTGTTGGGAAGGCTCAGCCCCTCCCTCTTTCAGCAGGTGGAAAGTGTCCCATGTGGACTGTGAGCTGCACAAGAGGGACATTCTCCTTCCTGAGGCCACTACTGGGCCTGGGTGGGCTGAGAGGGAGGGTGCGTTGTCCACTCCTGAGGGAGAAGGAGGATCTGAGTTAAAGGGAACCATCACCCCATCTTCCCCAGGTGTAAGCTGTGAGGGATGAGGCCCCTAAAACTGCACTGTGTTCCCTTCATCCTCTGAGGAGGAGCCCACAGTGGGGAGGAGACCCAGGTTCCCCCTTACCTGTCACTCGCAGGAGCAGGGCCTCACTCCTCTCAGACAGCGTGTCCCCAGTAGTGTATGCACACTGGTACAGCCCTGTGTCATATGTGCTCATGGACTGAATGAGGAACATGGTCTTGTTGCTGGAGGCCTGAGGGATCCTCGTTTCCCAGGGCTGAGAGCCCCTGTCTTTATACAGAATATAACCATCTGCCTGCAGAGATCCCTGACACCAGATGGTCACAGGGCTCCCATGTCTGACCCTGGGGCCTGGGTCAGCCCAGATGGAGGGTTTGGGGAGAACTCCTGGAAAGGAATCAGACCTGCAGTGTCAGGAGGGTCCTTGTCCCCTCAGTTTCCCCATCTGTCACTCCACAGCCCCTCCCACACTGGTGTCCACCAGCTGAGACCCACTGTGTGTCCCCTGGCTACCCAGGGGCACCATTGTGCTGAAGCAGGAGCTCTGGGGAGGACTCACCTGCCTGGACATGGTCCCATGGGCCCTGGCACAGCCCTGGAAGAGAGTCGTGTGAGTTATCCTCAACACCCACACAGAAGGTCCTGGCCTGGTCTGGAACCCTGCTGAGCTGATATCTTCTGTCCTTAGGATTTCTGCCCCCACTGGCCTTCCTGAGTCCTAGATCTGGGAGTGAAGAAGACCCCATCCTTCTGTTTTCCCCAGAACTCACCGAGACAAAGAAGAGAAATGAAGGCCAAGGTCATAACACTGTCTGCCAGGGTTCCCAAGGGTTCAGATGACATAAAATGTCCCTGAGCCCTGCAGGACAGACAAACACACAGGCTGTACCAAGGTCCCGTCTCTGTGTGAGAAGTCACAGTTTCTTCCTCAGCTGCAACATGCCCTCCCTGAGGGGTGGTGGAGGAGACAGCAGGTTCTGGCACCTTTCAGACCAAATCTCAGTCTCAGCAGACCTCACAAGTCCTGCCTCCACCTGATGTGATGCCCCAATCCAGAGGGTGACCCCTGTCTCAGAACACGAGGGCAGAGGATGAGAGGCAGGACTCAGGAGCTGCCCAGTTCCTGCTGCATTCTGACTCTGCTTGTTTTACAGCCCACGTAACCATGGACAATTAACTTCCTTTTTCTGAGAAGGTAAATGGAAAGTTTCTTCCGGCCTTTCTCCATCCCGGAAACCAGCCAATATTTCCCGAGCAGGTGCTCAGTTCAGCCACGAAGTTCATTGGGGAAGGTGACTGACTCCTCCCCTGGACACATGCAGTGCTGGTTAGCGATATCAGACAGTACAAATGTGTAGGCAATGGATGATGTGGGGGTCATTTTGGTAAGTTTCAGAGAACAAGAAGACTGGAGCACAGAGACTGTATACAAGTGGATGTCATGGAGTGTGGGGACTTGCAGGTAAGGGAGGGACCAGGACACACTAGTGGTCAGCACAGCAGGGTCAGAAGACCCTCGACCAGGAAGAGGGTGATTATTCTGAGAGCTGTGGGTCACCAGGCTGTGCTGGGCCCTGGTCACACGGGGCCTTTGCTCCCTGCAGGGACTCCTGGGTTTGATCTTTAAGGTAATGGAACACTTTTCAGTAAAGGAGTGTGTGAGCAGGTTGCTGCTTTGAGAAGATACTGCTCCATGAGAAAAGACTATACTAATGAGGAATGGATGATAAACTGTGATAAAACTCCAGCCCTAATCTAACACCAAGGTAATGAGCTCATCAGTACTCTTAGTGGTTTATGAGAATTTCTGATGAAACCCTACTCAAATCTCATAACACAAACACATTTGAAGTTGAGTGAGAAGAGGCAGGCATATTTCTTTGTCATTATCTCAGTCTAGGAGGTGTGCAGAAAGTCTGCTCTGTTCCAATGGGCTTAGGGGACGCCCATGACAAGCACAGTGTGGCCTTGACCCAGGTGTGTGAATCTAGGGAGGGAAGGTGGGCACAGGAAAGGGTCTGCTTTGTAGGGACCAGTTGTCTCTGCTTGGGACAGAGAGTTTAGCTCAGCCTGATCTCCAACAACGTGGACCATTAGTTGGAGCTGCTTGGATGTGCTGGAGCGAGGTGGAGACCTGGAGAAAGGCTTTGTTCAGGGAGGGTCCATGACAGGTAAGTTCAGGTGCATCAGAGTAAAACCCTCAGCTGGGAGTGAGGGTCCACAGTAGGCCAGAGAGGAGGCGATGGGGTCACACCCCCATGACGTCCTGGGTCTTCACATGAGTGTGACTGTGGAGGGGAACTGGGTATCAGAAAGAAGGTCTCAGGGTAGAGCTGTGGGTGTGTTCATTGTGTGGGGGGAAGAGAGGGAAGAGCTGAGGGCATGTCTGTGCTCTGCCTGGATGGTCTGGGGAGCCCGCCCAATGTGGCTGTCTCCAGACTGACCACCCACTGAGGGGCAGGAGTGGTGGGGAAAGGATTACAACATGGTCACCTGAGAAACTGCAAGAGTCATCCACTCTCCTGGCCATGTGTGTGGTTTGGTCTCTCCATCTCACTTCCTCTGTCTGACTTCCTCATCTCTGTGAGCAAGAGAGCTTCTCTCCATTCCTCCCATCCAGGCCCCTGAGCATGTCTGCCTCCTCATTGCCCTGCTCTGTGAGGGGCAACCCTGCATCTGACACTGGTCACTCCATCTCCATGTGCTGGGCAAAAGAACCAGTTTAAACTATTCACAGGTTTTAAGATAAGATAAGGGTGAAATCTCAGCTCTCACGGGTGTTGTGGGGATCAGTAGAGCCTGAGACATGAAGAGACTTCACCTGTGTCATTTCTGGGCCTGATTTAGACATCAGCATGAGAGACTTGTAGGAGGAAGGGCTATCTGGAAGCTGCATACAAATCCCCCAAGCCCTCAGGGGGCATCAGAAGCTATAGGACATCCTTAGTTGATGGCAGATGACACCAGACTGAGGGGAGACAGAAGGACGCTGCTTGTCCTGGATCCTGGACTCACCACACTCAGGAATGAGGGTGGGAATCCCACCAGGGGCTGAGCCTAAGCACTGGACAATGAGAGCATTTCAGATTTGGTGGGAGTCCCACCTCCCATGAGACTGCCCTGGGACATGGGGTCACTTCTAAGGTAATAAGGATCCACAGGGGACCATGTCAATTGACTTGCATTTCTTATTAATGTGGTAATATCACATAACATAGATTTGAGCCTTTTAAAACATAGAATTCACTGGAATGTAGTCAATACACAGGGTTCAACCACAACTTTAATGTTGTTTTAATAAGGAATTTGTGTAACCACACCCCCAAATTACACAAAGCTGTCAGTCTCCCATCTCTCCTCCTCGTCAGCCCCCAACAAGCCCGCCTGACTTCTGTCTCTGTGGTTTCCTCCTCCTGGATGCTTCATACAAACACAGTCACAGAAAACATGATCTTTTCTCTCTGGCTTCTGTCACTCAGCTGCAGAGTGTTGACATTCATTCACTGTGTTGCTGGTGTCAGTACTTTGCTGTTTATGGCTTAAAAAGGCTTGCCAGGTTATGAAAAGACATTTTGTTTATGTGAATAGGATCCAGCATGAAGGGCTGTGTTGATGTGAACCCAAACCAGCCACTCGCGGAAGCCCCTCAGGTCACAGGGGTGAGGACAGGACAGTCCAGGGGAGTCAGTGAGGATGAGGAGGGACAGCCCCACAGTGGGAAGGAGGTGGTGTCTCCACAGGAACACAGCTCACGTTCCCTGCCCCCAAACCTCGTCTGCCATGTCTGCTCTACCAGACAAATCAGCAGTTTCCCGCCTGTGGTCCAGCTGTCCTCCCCCATGTCCTGGGTCATCAAATGTACTCCACGACTCCCCCCACTCTGAATGGTGCCCTGTCCTCTCTGTGTTCACATCCTGGCTGCAGCCTCAGCCATTCTCTCGCTGTCCTGAGCATGAATAGCAGCACCCTGAGGACCACCAGGACCAATCCAGCCATGCCCACGTGGATGAGATTCTCTACTGTGTAGTCTTTCGGTTGGGAGCCTGGAAAATGTGGAGACAGGTCAGCATGGTCTGACAGCCCCAAATGTCCAGGACTCTGATGTCCCCCCAGGCTGACCCCTCCCCTTGATGTCAGTGCCCCTGGGACATCTGATCCAGCTCTGGCTCTCAGCTGCCATGACAAGAGCGAGCTATGCCCAAGAGCTCAGGATCAGGGAAAAAATTGTCTCAGTTCAGGAACAATTTAGGGCTGCTGTTTATTTTGGGTTTCATCTGAGACTGAAGACCCAGAAGCTTAGTGCTGTGTAGCTGAGAGATCTTTGTTTTCCACATGTGGGGGCCCTGGTCCATGGAGGAGGGGTGGTGTTGTGGGCTCCTGAGTGGCAGGCGCACAAAGGGGTGAAAGCCTGGGGCAGCGTCTCCTTCACCCCACTCTCTGGGATCCGCTGTTTAATCATCACTTGGAAATTTTCATCTGTTTATTGTTTCATTAATTCATTTTATATGATGACAAAACTACCGTGGTAGATATAGTGACCAGATGAAAAATATGGGCATGTCTGTGAATATTTGTAGGTATGTTGTAGACACATAAATTTACTATCAATATTAGAGAAAATACAGGTTTTTCAGTTGTGAATTCCTGAAATACAGAGTTATTTATTGTGTTACTAGTATTGATTGTTGTATTATTTTTTGTAAAAATAACTTTAAACCTCCTTTTTCCCATACCTTGTATATGTACATTTTATGGAGTATGTTATAAAATGTCATATAAAAGGAATCTGTATATAGTTAAACACATATCCACTCTTACATAAATACTAAGTTATATATCATCATCAATGCCTACATATATTTGTAAATTACCGATATATATTATGTGTGCATGTATGGAACTAGAGAGAAGAAGAGAGACTTGAAAAGGTCATAAAGAGGCAGATCCCCAGAAGGAGGGTGTAGTCTGGTCTTCAGTGGGGAATGAAGTCTCCTCTGTGGGATGTAGGGAGGGGGCAGAGGAGAAGCAGGACTGGGACTTTGGGCCTTGGAACATGGGGTCAGAGGTCAGGTCAGGGGCCCAGAAAGGGCAGGCACCGTCTTCTTCTCCTTTTGGACAAACTCTGGAAATACTGGCAAAATTTTGTAGATGGATGGCTAATCATGTGATTTTTACCCCAAAACACCACCTCCATGCACTGCTTATCAACCCTGCTAACCAAGGAAGCCTGCAGTTGTGGTCTTCAAACTTTGAGGAACAGAGAAGTTACCCCAAGTTGTAGTATTTTGTGAGCTCCAAAAGTAGGAAATTATGGGAATCTGCTTCCCCACTTGATATAGAAAACAAGATGTAACAAAATTATTGACTTATCTAATTCCGAAGATGCACACAAAAATTCTAAATATCAGCTCACACAATTCAGAAAATGCACATAGAAAATAAATGTTATTTATTCACAATAATATTCAAATGGTTGAAAGCAGGAAGTTTTTGGAATGGGTCTCATGTAGTTATACATCAGAAAGAAGAGATAATTTTTAGGAGATGCGTACCTGTCAGTAAAAACAAAACAAAACAAAAAAACAACATTCCTAATAAAACCCTAAGGAAATCAAAAAACATATTGAAACATAAAGGTCAATAGTGCATTAGATATAAAATGTAGATATCTTAATGAGTTTGCATTGAAATAATTTGTGTTATGAATGAAACTTTTTCAGAGGTAAAGCTGTGGAACATTTTACTTGGTCTTTTTATCATGAGGAATTTGGAGATAGAAAAATAGGTATACAGTGTACAATAAGTGAAATGACCTCTGACATGTGGGTATTATAATTTTCTCAGTGTTTCAGAGGGATCAACTGAAAAACAATAGAGGGACTTGGAAGATGGTGGCATGGTAGGAGGGAGCAGATTCCACTGCCCTCTACACAGGGAAGAAAAACTAACTGATCAACAGAGGAACAGAGCAAAAAGCCAACAATATCACAACATTTATGAAAATTGGAGTTCAAAAATCATAGCAGACATTGAAAAACCAGATGATAAGGAGACTGCTTCAGGATAATAAGGTCCTAGGAACTAGCGTGGGGACCAGGGAGGTTGCAGTCCCCAGGCCAG